AAAAAAAAAAAAAAAAAAAAAAAAAAAAAAAAAAAAAAAAAAAAAAAAAATAAAAAATAAAAAATAAAAAGAAAAAATAAATAAATGTTAATTTAATTCTCCTCTTTTGCTGTTCTATAAACATACAGAATATGTTTTCTTTTTTTTTTTATTTGGGTTTGTCTGTTTATTTTTATAGATTTGTTTTAGTTTGTTTCAATCAACTATCTTTTCTGCTTTCTTCATATATTCATTTAATTTTTATAATAAAAGTTTTTACTTATTTCAGTTTTTTATTTGTTTTATTTTTTTTTTTTATTTTTTAATTTTTTGTTTTCTCTGCGTCCATTGTGTTAGTTGTTTATTTTTTTGTGAATTTGTTTATTTGTTTCTATCTATCAGCTCAATCATATATTCGTTTTCATATATTTTTTTGTTTTTTTTAATTAATATAAAAACTTTTTTAACTATAAATTCCTTTTACTTATTTCTACTATCAACTTTTTTTCTGTATTCATGCAGCCTCTTATTTGTATCGATATGAAATATATATTTATTTGTTTTAATATATATTTTTATTTGTTTTAATTTATAATTTAATTTATATTAAAATATTTTTTTTGTTTTTATTTGCTTACTAGTGCTGCACTGATTTCTTCTACTGGGCGCTGGTACGCCGGCTTATCATAGAAGTAGCCGCTGATGCCTCCACGCAGTGCTTTCCCGCTTTTCTCCCAATCTGCATGCAAAAAAAAAGATAATTTAATTTATTTAAATAAATAAAAATAAATGCATGCATTCATACTGTCACTGATCTGCAGAGAAACCTTCTAAATGACGCTGAAACGCGAAACAAAACGGCTGCTCCGCCTGCTGTTTCTGCTGCTCCTGCTGCTGCTCCTGCTGCTGCCGCTGCTGCTGCTGCTGCTGCTGTTGCTGCTGCTGCTGCTGCTGCTGCTGCTGCGACGTACAGCGCAAACACTTTTGAAGGTTGCGAACGAAATTGCTGATTGCTTTCAGCGCATTCCGCTGCCGCCGCAGTTCCGCTTCTAGAGGCGTCTTTGCGTGCTTGGAGCACTGCAGAGAAAGAAGAAACAGAAAAAAAAATTAAAAAAATTGAGTAATAAGCAGAAACAAAAGAAAAAAAACACATAAAACAAGAAATAAAGTTATAAACAGAAAAAAAAGAAACAAAATAACAGAAGAACGAAATGCAAGAGCAACACGGAAAGCGGCAAAGGAACAGAAACAGAACGGGTAGGAGGAGAGAGAAAAACAGAAGAAGCAGCAGCAGAGAAAAAAGAAAGAGAAAAAGAAACAAAATATAAAAAAAAAAGAATAAAAACAATGAAATTATTTCCGTTTTCTTGAGTTTGCTCGTCGTACAGAAAGCAGCAGCACCATCTGCCTCACTGCGGCACCGCCGTGGCACATATTTCGCCGAAATTTGTGGAAATAAAGCAAAATATAATATAAAAGAATAAAAAAGAATTAATAAATGTTTATATTCATGAATTAGAAAGCAAATGATCGCGCATCGCAGCAGCCAGTGCAGACCCACCAGTCGGCCTAGGAACCCGAACATAATAAACGTGTGATATCGTATTTCGTGTTTTCTTCTTTTTCTAATTAAGAAATAAAATTCAACTTTTTATGTTTTTGCAAATTCAAAGAAAGCCGCATTCGTTCGCCGATGGGTATACTACAGAAGGAAGCCAGCACTGGCCGCTGCTGCTGCTAGTACAAGAAGAAACCTATATCTGCGGCAGTATTGGGGTCCGCGTCGCGCTCATGCTCGTCTTTTTTAGTTTATCAGTTACCAGGAAACAGAATAAATAAATAAAAGAGAAGTTTTTTACAAAAAAAAGAAAGGATTCCGCTGAAACACGCACAGAAAGCCGCCCGCCACCAAGTCGGTGGTGGCACTGAGGATTCAAGATCGCATGCAGCATGCACGAGAGCCTCAGGTTTCTATGACTTGCAACAAAAATAAACCCAGAATATACAGTCAGTTATGTTTCTTTTCTTTTAATATATTATTTTTTAAATAATATTTAAAAAAAATAAAATACAATAGGACTGACAGCCGCTTACTAGTACCTGCAAGCGTAAGAGAACGGCACACGCGCAAGCGACGCTGCAGCTGCAGCAGCAACTGCAGCAGCAGCTGAAACTTTTCGCTTATTCTTCTGCAATCTGAGCAGTTTAAATATATTTATTTATTAAATTAAATATATTTATTTATTATTTGCAAATTTAATAGAGTTCAACACCCCCAGCTACACCCACCAGGCCCGCCAGTCTTTTCTTTTTCTATGAAATATCAATTTCTCCTTTTCTAATAAAGTACTTGTAACATGAGTTAGCGCAGAGTTAGCTGAGGAGCCTATTGACAGCCTTGGCATGCTGCGCGTAAGCGTCTGCAAACGTTATACAAGTTCGTTATGAGGCAAAGCATGCAGCAAAGGAAGCTTCTCTGAAGCTTCCTTTAGTGCACGCGTGGGGCTGGCTAGCTCTGCTAGCCGCAGCGGGGTGCGCTGCAACCCCAAAGCAGCTGACCTCCTTCCGCGGTACCTAGGCATCCTGGGCGTTGAGCCCGGGGCCAGGGTGTCGAGGGGAGGAGGCAGCCCGAAATGGGGT